AGAGGACTTGTTCCCTGAATTTTTCTGCCCTTAAAAATTCGATGACCTCCGCCGGGTATTTGAACCCGCGTACTACGAGTCATGAGGTTGGAACGTTGCTCTAGACTACGGAGGCTGCNGTTGATAATACGAAGAAAATAACAATGTGTTTGTAAATGTTAAATTTTAGACTGGGTTCAGTGTAGCAGCAACGTTAGAGTATACACCTGATGATGGCCGATAGAGGCCGAAACATGTAGTGTGGAAGAGAACAAGATCAAAGACATATAATATATATTGTTTGCACTTGGGACGGAGATTGTATCATTTATCGTTTAAAGTTTATGAAGGTTTAAGTCACACACCTGAATGCATAATGTAGTATTTTACAAATATTTGGAGCAGATGTGAGTGTGAACATATTTTTTGGGGACCAATTGATAATGTGAAGAGAAAAGCAGAAGCAATACATTTTATGTATAAGAACAGGTCCCTAAGTCCATAGGTATGATTACAATTTTCAGTGAATTATTCTTGGTGATAAGGTGCTGCAAGTGGGTACTTTCTGATGGAAGAAGACATAAAAGTATTACAAAGACAGTGTTTAATTTCACATATGAAAGTTGCCATTACAGTTTTATCTCCTTTATAAAGTCATATTCCCATTCTGAAGTCTCTCATACATTTCTTATTCACACTTGCAGCTATGTTGAAACCCTCATACATTTCCAGTATTACGTACTTACCTACCTACCAAACACTCAGCGCTACAGCCCTGGGTGAGCCTTGGCCTCCTCTACAATCAGTCTCCGTAACCAACGCGTGCTGCCATAGGAATGGATCCACGCATGATGAACCAAGGATGGTTGTTAGGTTTGTGAACAAAATTCTTTTTACAGGATGAGGTTATTAGCCTCGTGCACAACCCCCAACCTGGAGGAGCAGGGTATCTCGTAGTCTGGACTGTACCCTTTGACCTTTCTGGCATGGGTGACCCTACAGGTAGTTAAACTACCGCTGGCATAGCTCTGCAGGTCACAGTCACGCAAACCCCACCACCACAACAAGGTGGAGACCCCTTTTGGGGGTGTTTCCAGTATTACAGTAACAAAAATTATGCACTAAAGTTAAAATAAAAAGGTAAGAATAAGGGACTGAGGAAAACTATAGAAGCCTGTCAGGATATTTGAACCCAGAGATCTCGAGAATATGAAGCAGGAATGCTTCCCACTTGCTACCATCATGTTTAGCTACACAGTAATGTTAGAAATTAAGATATTTCCTAACCATATCTTTCATGGAAGTGGATAACTCAGAATTTCTAGCTGATACAACTATTTATAATAACTTTAAGTGCCACTTTTTAAATGTTCATTAGTAACAGATTTTGTTTTCTCGTGGGGGGAGGGGGAGTTGGAAATGAAAAATCTGCCATAGGAATGGATCCACGCATGATTAACCAAGGATGGTTGTTAGGTTTCCGAACAAAATTCTTTTTATAGAATGAGGTTATTAGCCTCATGCCCAACCCCCAACCTGGAGGACCAGGGTATCTCATAGTCTGGACTGTACCCTTTGACCTTTCTGGCATGGGTGACCCTACAGGTAGTTAAACTACCGCTGGCATAGCTCTGCAGGTCACAGAGTCACACAAACCCCACCACCACAACAAGGTGGAGACCTCTTCCGGGGGTGTTTCCAGTATTACAGTAACAAAAATTATGCACTAAAGTTAAAATAAAATGGTAAGAATAAGGGACTGAGGAAAACTATAGAAGCCTGTCAGGATATTTGAACCCAGAGATCTCAAGAATATGAAGCAGGAATACTACCCACTTGCTACCATCATGTTTAGCTACACAGTAATGTTAGAAATTAAGATATTTCCTAGCCATATCTTTCATGGAAGTGGATAACTCAGAATTTCTAGCTGATACAACTATTTATAATAACTTTTAAGTGCCACTTTTTAAATGTTCATTAGTAACAGATTTTGTTTTCTCGTGGGGGGAGGGGGAGGTGGAAATGAAAAATCTTATAACAGTTGTGCACCAAAATAGCCATTACAAATCTGTCGAAAGTTGGGACTTAATGTCAGTTTCACTGTCTCAAGTTGGGACATATAACATGACTGATGTGTCAAATGTGCAATGACAAGAAATCACAATAAGACTTCGTAAATACATACAGTGCGGTCACATTTTATGCAAGGGAGGCATTCCTGAAGACCCCACATAATTCAGAACAGGTTTTCTCATTATCAATTTTGGGGGGATTCGCATTATTAAAAACTTTGTGCATAAAGTGGACTTTGCAATCTTTCAGATTCACATAAAATTTATAAATGTATTCATTAGTGTAAGAGCTGAATTAATTTACAATTTTAATAACTTATTTACTTACCCTATTGTTGTACCTTTTATCACTTCAGCATTTCCACTCAGTGTTTCTGCAATGAAATCATCATCATAAGCTTCCTCAGGATTCATCTGAAATTTTATTCTCCCTGGCAGCACAATTGGCCTAGGATGTGGTGTAAGTGGGAAAAATGGCTTATTCTTCTTAGGTCTCTCCTTCTGCCACTTGAAAAAGAAACCCATAAACATCAGATAAGTAGAAAATACAGACCTTTGCTGATTGTGGGTTGTAAATTTCAAGCTTCAAGTATTTGTGCAAATTGTTTCACTTTGCCTCCACATCTGTGGTAGTATATTGTTCCTAAAGTGAGGAGGAATATGTGCATACTGCTATGGAAGTAATATGTAATAAATGAAAGTCTTTTATTTACTTAATTTTTATATTTATTTTCATATTTGTTGTAAGATTAATAGTTTTGCTTATTCCTAATTAAAGTACAATAGTGGAACCACTAAAGGAGCCAGTATAGCATCTAGGCTATGGGTTACACAACCAAGAAGTTGGGGTTCACTTCCTGACAGGGACAGGAGATTTTTCACTTTTCCCGCTCTGCCTCTTCAGTGGGTACCAGAGGCTGTTTCCCTGAAGTAAAAACAGCAGAGACATGAAGCTGACCCACTCACCTCTGCTGCGGTTAAGAAGGATGGAGCTATAGCTTTGCTGCTCTATGTGTCTCCACAGCATGATGCTTAACTCTACCATTAGTAGAACCACTGTAGCTCAAGCAGTAAAGTGATAGGTTACACATATGCGTATACTAGGCAGCTGAGGTTAATTTCATTATTAAATAGCTGGGTTGCTATATATATTCTTTGCACATTGGACAGGTTATGAATATGTGTCTGTCTCTCCTGTTTCAGTCCTGAGACTGCTCTATGAATTTCAGTTAATTTTGTTGTTTCAGGTGAAATTTGGAACTTGTCAAGTGAGATTAATTTTAGTTTAAATTGGCCACTGAAATCAGACTTCATCAGTTTCCTCAGAAATCACGTATTGTGCAAAGAATTTATGTGTCAAATAATACACTTCACTTAGTTATACAGCCTGTATTCAGATATCTTCAAGTATTTTTTATACTTAATGAAATGCAACAAAAACTAATGTCGCTGTAAGTAGTGAGAACAGCTTTCCAGCAGTAGATTTTTATTTTAACCTAATGCAATAAATTATGATATTAACATACATTACAGTTTATTTGGTTTTTCTCTCTGTTGTTGGAAGAAAGTACATAATTGCAATATGGAAGGACGTTTATGATGTCATAAATGCACTATTGGAAGATAAATAGCATTTTGATATTGATAATTGAAGTAATTTTTAAAGATATATTTAAAGGCAATGAATGCATATACATATAATGTTCATTGAGGTCTGCAATTGAAGGTAAATAAAGCTCATTTCTTGCTTTGCCATGTGACATACATAATCATCACACTGTAATCACATGAATTTAACTAATGTAATAAATTTGAGACAGGAGTAAGATCTGCAGTATTCACGAATTATTGACACATTATTTTAAAACCCATGGAGAATGTATTCAGTCATGTACCTCACCTTAATGTCACGTTTCCGTTCCTCTTTCGGAGTCTCTTCAGTAGTTTCAGCCGAATCAGTTTCCACATTTTGGGGTTCCTTTTCCTGGTTTTCTTTTACAGTAGCTGATTCATCAGTTTCTGCTTCAATGACTTTGTCACCTTCTGCAGTTTGATTTATGTCTGGTACTTTCTCTTCCTCATCAGCAGTTTCTTTTTCTTCACCATCTTGTAATTCTTCTTGTTGAGCTTCAGTTTCTGCCCTTTCCTCCTCTGTTTCTTTAACCCCTTCTGAAATGTGCATTGCAATGTTACACTAGGATTATACAAAGTTGAATTCTGGGACTTTGTTAAGGATTTGATGATCTGGATATTGATATTATCACAAGTGAACATACATAACAGGGCATACATATGTTAGTCTTAAGCTAAGTCTAAATGTTTCTGATGATGGTGTGTTACAGTGCTCATGACTTATATTCTACTTATCCATCAGCTTCAGATTTTGAAACATATTGTGGAATCAGATCCAGTTTCTTAAACGTTCTGTTTGGGAAAAAACTTAAGGCTGTTTGACCCTGAAGATGGAGATAACATGTACCTCTGAAACATCAAGTTTTTTCTGAACTTCACAGCCTTCCAGCCCTTCGTAGTCATCACTGTGAGAACTTCAAATCCAATTTTGAATAATGATCTAATGAAAACAGTAACTTAAAAAAATAATAGAAAGGAAGTGTTAAGTGTTGCTTACCACCATCTTCAGAAGAAGGTTTGATATTTATAATCATGAGGTCAGGGCTGCAAATTTATAACAGCAAAGCTGTTGAAAGTTAAAATTTTTCCTGCCTCAAATTGGTTGGGTTGGGAGAGGATAGTATCAGAATTACCCCAACGAACTAGGATTAGATGATATTTAATTAAATTCATATCTAAAAATTGCACACTTATATTATTCATTGTGTGTGCAATTGTTATGTCATTTGGTATATAGTAGCCCTTACCATTCATGAAATTTCTGTCCATGTCTTTCATACCTTCTTTCTCAGCATCGGTGTCTTCTGCAGTTGATACAGGGTTTATTTCAGCAATCTTTTGTTGTACGATATTTGTTAATTGCTGCTGAATAAACGAGAGTTGCTGTTGCATTACCACTGGCAACTGCAGTAATGCAGTCAATTGGCTTTGGATCTCCAACAGCTTGTCTTCATTTGCCTTCTCAGGTTCTTCAATTTGTGGATTTTCCACTGTCTCAGCATTAATTTCATTTTTCTCCTTTTGTTCTTCTGGTAACTCATTTTCTTCTGATTGTTCTTTGTCAGTCAACTGTGGTTCTTTTATGTCCTGTTCCGTATTTGGTTGATCACTTTCTGTTATCTGCTCTTCCTCTCCGTTTTCAGTGACTTCTTGATTTATTTTGTTCTCTGTTTGTGGCTCTGGCTGTTTGGGTGGCTCTTTGGCTTCCTTGGGCTTCTCTTTTGGCTTTATTTTTGGTCGGTTTGGCACCTGTAAGAAGGTGGTTAGTTTCTTCTTTTCAGGCTCATTTTCCTCTTCTTTGAGCAGTTGTAAAACTTGTGACTTCTCAATAACATCAGCCTTTGGCTCCAGTTTATCAAAATCCACTCTGAAAAGAAATAGTATGATTGGTTCTTATGCCATTTAAAGATGTTTCAGGCTTAGGATGTGTTACGTACATGGTGAATCAATAGAAATATAGGACATGTGTCACTGTATTATTTTTAATGCCTGAAATGCCTAACTGATTTAATATGATAGAATATTTGAAGCTGTAATTGCAAGTCAATGCTAATATGAATCTTGTTTCTGGATGATAGCACCATGTGGAAGTAGGGTGTATTTACTGTCTCCATCTCCAGGGTGAAGTGACTAACTGGCCCTGCTGGTGATATAGGTAGTTATTACTGGTTTAGTTTCTTTTAACATATTTTATGAAAGTGTACTTGTAACCTGTAAGACAGTGTGATGTAATCATGACTGCAAACCTGACACACATGGCTGTCATCAGAACATACTGCATTTGTAAAATTCAGTTGTTTTTATCCAAAGTATGTGAAATTTCTGTAAAACATATGTAGTTTACTGATATATTGGGTTTCTGGACTTTATCCATCGTCNCAATCAAGTTCCTTCCGTCAAATGTGACACTTTTATAAGTTTTCCACCTCGTCACCACCTGCCTTACATGTTTCGGCTCACCACGGAGCCATCATCAGAGGCATTTATAGTAGAAAAAGAAATCACCAACACACAAAACTTCACTTTGTTAAAAATAGCCACGTTCCAGTTAATTAAAATAATTACAATAGTTAAAATTGCCGAGAGTGTCGGTTCACTAAAGGTTTTCCACACACCACGGTAGCTTTCTTATTTAATTCGTCGTTAATTCTGTAAAAATTATGTTTCGTTATTTGAAGTAAGAATTCTTAAAATTCCTAGAATTCTTTCCCGCTTGGCCCAGTCTTTTTTCTTCGGGATGTTGTTGACGTGTGTTGTCTGTCGGTTGTTGATGTTGCTTGTCTGTGTGTTGCGATGCTTAAGCACACACACAAACTAAACATCCATGCCCTGAGTGGGATTCGAACCCACGATCCCGGTTTACAAGCGAGCGAAGACAGTACATGCCTTAGACTGCTCGGCTACTGTGACCGACACTCTCTCAGACATAGTGGAAGTTAATGCTAAGAGAACGTGCAGACATATAATCTCAACAATTTTATAGATAAAGACCAAAACTGCAATGTAAATACTGGTGGAGAATTTGACTATAGTATTAACAATGGCCAGATTTGAGGAAGTAAAAAATTAAATTCCTTGGATGCAAAATATCTAATTATTCAATGAAGATTTGTACATGACTACACATCATATATAATTATCTGTTCAGCTGCAGGTAGTATATAGAGAGCATAAGAAAATAGGATTTCTAAGTACACTCCCAGCAGAAAATCACATATACGTATATCAGGGAACAGATATATCAGTTTGCCTTCCGAATGCCAGAAGCACCGAACTTCAAACACTCATTTTTGGGGGGGGGGTTGAAGAGAAAGAAGAAGAAAAAGTACTTCTCTGCTGTCTCCATAATTTAATTTTTTGGAGTAATACATATAAGCATCTGCAAACAATGTTTTATATGACTGGAGAGGTATGTTGTTAGTTTGTTTACTCTTTTGTATTACAGTCTGCATACCTACGCTGAAATAAAAGGAGAAGAAATGTTTGAATGGTTTTTGAGTGAGTCAGGTGAACATAAACCTCAATCAAGAGTACTTGTTTTTACACAGTCTCTGATAGGTAACGGAGTTTACTACCTTCTGGGTTGTAACAGTGCATAGTCTGGTTGAAGTTTACTGATGTTTTGGAGAAATTCACAAACTACCATGGCATGATGTTGCATCCCAGAAGATAATACTCTTCAGAGTCACTGCCAAGGAACCTCAAATCTCACTCTGTAAGGTTAATTTGCATTCAGGAAGGTAATAAGACTTACCCAATAGTTGTTCCCGTTAAGACCTCAGCACGTCCCACCATTATATCCGAAATCTCTTCTTCTGATAGTTCTCTTTTCACTTCCTCTGTTGCTGTTTCTTCTGATTGCTCTTTCACTTCCTGTTCTTGAGACAGTGGTTGTGATTCAGCTCCTGGTTGTAATGGCATTGTCATGTCAGTGTCTTCGGCAGCTATTGAAAACAAGAGGGATATATTAGCATGGTATTTAAATATGTGTAGAATACATTATCCTAATCCCTTTATAGGCATGGGATTCATTTTCCTGGGCAAAACCGAATGATGACTTATGAACGAATATGGTTAGGGGAACTCAATACTGTCAACATAAAATAATAACTGTATGAAACAAGAAGATTACTTTCTTCTGTGATTGATGCCATTAGCTTAGTAGATATTTGTACCAGTTTTTTGGAAGAACTAGTTGATTAATATCTTCCAGGATGGAGCTGGGATAGTGCAGTCGGTATAGCGACTGGCTGTGGGCTGGATGACCGAGGGGTTGGAGTTTGAGTCCTGATAGGGTCAAGAATTTTCTCTTCTCCACATTGTTCAGACTGACTCTACTGTCCACCCAACATCCTATCCAATGGATACCAGGAACTCTTTGCCCAGGGGTAAAATGGCCAGTGCGTGAAGCTGCCCGCTCACCTCCAACTAATGCTGAGGTCAAGAATGGTGGGGTTATACCTCCACTCCCCATACTTCTTCATGGCATAGTGCGTAATTAGTTAAGCACAGGGACAACTTTACCTTACCTTACCTACTCAGTGTCATGTCCTTGAAGACAGCTCTTTACATGGTCACCACAGTGAGGTTCTCAGATCTTACATGTATGAGAAGTACAACTTATGTATTTTTACTGTACTTGCACAGTCTCCCCTGTCATGCTTATCCTTTCCTACTATTGTGAGAAGAAAATAGCAGTTCTCAGCAAATTTAATGTATGTGGTTGAGTCTAATATATATTTGCAGGTATGCAGGGATAGGACACTCCAAGTCCATGATTTACCAGCCTGTTATAATTAAATCCTTGATTAATCAGTTGATATTATTGTCGCAGGATGCAAGGATGTCAACCAAAGAAGTAAGGAATTCAGAGGTATGCAGGATAGTTTCATATTTGACCATAGTTACCGTTTCCACTTTTAAAGCTATGGAAGTAATTAAAATGTGTTTAAAATGTAAGATATAAATTGACAGTGAGGAACATGTATGAATTAATAGCCTGATATGTTTGTTACATTTCATTTACAAACATGTAGACTGCACATTCAGTTATACAGTTCTGGTTCCATTGTTTCTCCCCTTTCTTTCTTTGGCTTACACATTAACCCTGAAGATGGAGGCAGAATGTTTGTTCATAATGCCATTTAACTTCTACTGTATTACATGATAGTGCATCCCAGAAGATAGTGTTTGCCATTGAGTTTGTTGATTTTTTTTTTCTGTTGGGAGCCTGTCTGAGAGTACACTGTGGCTCACTCCTGAGAGCTAGCTCATATGATGTGCTTCTGCAATATTAATTAATGATCTGAACCACTACATTGCAGATCTGTAAAATCTGGGAGCTGATTAGTGGAATGGGAAAGAATGGGAAAAATTGTACCCAATATCTGTGCCTTAGGCAGGTTCTGAACTGACAATTTAATGCCCATGGTCACAAAGGTAGTGGTTGTGTTATCACTTGTCCTGGTGGGATGTAAGACTGACTGGGATGTCATGCCATGTAGTCTTGTAGATGTTTACAGATGTTTCAGTTACCCGAGTTCAATCTCCACTTGAATCAAGTTTCAATCTGTTATCGTTGTTCCCAAATATCTGAATTGTGCCATATTTTCAAAATATCTATTTTCTATCTTTATATTATGGCCCGTTAGTTTCAGTCCAACCTGGTTTCCTTGGACCTTCCTAATGGCATATTCTAAAGCAAAGTCGAAAAGGAGTGGTGATAAAGCATCTCCTTGTTTTAGACCATTCCGGATAGGAAATTTATCAGACAAATGTTTACCTACACGGACTTTACTGTATGTTCCTAACTAGTTTCATGGGTATCCCAAACGCTATCAGAATATTGTACAATACTTCCCTCCTGACTGAATCATAGGCTTTCTTGAAGTCTATGAATAGCTGATGTACTGTCTCATCATACTCCAATTTTTTCTCAAATATCTGACAAATGCAGAAGATCTGATCTGTAGTTGATCTGTTACGTCGAAACCCACACTGATGATCCCCAATAATTTCATCTATGTATGGTCTTAACCTTGAGAGAAGAATATTGGATAAAATTTTGTATGAAGTTGATAGCAGTGATATCCCTTGATAATTACTACAGTCAGTTTTATCGCCCTTCTTGTAAACTGGTACAAAAATAGACTCCTTCAACTGATGAGGCAATTTTTCCTTATGCCAAATAAAGGTTATTAGATTGTGGATCTTAGAACGTAATATTTCACCTCCTGCTTGAATAAGTTCTGCCGGAATTTGATCACTACCTGGCGCTTTATACCATTTCAATTTTGCAATAGCACTTTCAACCTCAAAAGGGCTAGGGTCAGGTACTAATGGCTCAGCTGTAAGGATTTCTGTCTGCCTAACATCACTGACCCTATGTGCATTCAATAAATGAGAGAAGTAGTTCCTCCACCTATTCACAATGTTGTGGGAATGTGCAAGCAGATCACCATTCTCATCCTTCACTAAGTTACTGCTAGGCTGGTAACCCCTCTTAAAGTCATTTATTCCTCTATACAGGTCTCTAATGTTCTTGTTCTTACTGTTCATTGCAAGCTCATCAATTTTGTCTTTCAGATATTCCCTCTTTTTGTTCCTGAGATGCCTGCTGGTTTCACATCTTAATATTGTTCAGATTATCCCCATTTATCTCACTTGGATCCTATAACCATTGCAATTTGGCCTGCTTTCTTTGATCTAATAATTCTGAGCATCCTTCATTGAACCATGGCTTATGCTTCTTCGGTTCATAATAACCGAGACTCTTTGGCAGACATTTTTATATTCTCTCTAATAGTTTCCCAAGCTTTATTAACATCCACCTCAGTTTCCAAAGCTGCGAACCTTTTTGAGATTTCAACACGATACTGCTCTTTACCTTCTACCTCATTTAATTTCTTGAGATTGAACCTCTCTATATGAACTCTGTGTGTTGTTTGTTTGCTCACTGCCAGTCTTTCCTAACCTTTGCCACAACCAGGTAGTGGTCAGTATCACAATCTGCTGCCCTGAATGATCGGACGTCAAGTATGCTTGACTGCCGTCAGCTTTCTATCAAGATATGGTCTATTTGATTGTGTATCTTCCCATCAGGAGATGTCCAAGTAAATTTATGGATGTTACGATATAGGAGCATTATACTTTTGACAGTAAAATTTTTTGATATTGCAAAGTTTAGTACTCTAACTCCATGATCATTACTAATTTCGTGCAAACTCTCATTCCCAATTTTTGGCTTGAAAATGTCTTCCCTCCCTACTTTGGCATTGAAATCTCCTAACAAAATTTTCATAGGGTACTTTGGGAATTTATCAAATACATGTTCTTATTCTTCATAGAATCTATCCTTTATGTCATCAATTATATCTTCTGTTGGGGCATGAATATTCATAACAATGATATCACACCAGCGACCTTTTAGTATTATATATGATATCCTATCACTAACGAACTCTACGCTCTTAATTGCTGATACGATTCTCTTATGTATGAAGAAACCTGTACCTAAGTCATGATTTTCATTCCCTTTTCCATAGAAAAATGTATAGTCTCCTGCTGGTGCAATGCCACCAACATCCCATCTGACCTCCTGTACTCCCACTAAATCTAATTTATACTTTAAGATTTCTTCTGCCACTGGCCTGAGCCTATACAAACTTCGAACATTCCAAGTGCCAAATGTCATATCCATTTTCTTTAGCTTAGGTCGTTTATCCAAGGAATCCATCCAGGTCCAAGGCTTTGTGTTCATTTTCGTAACATACTTATTTTTTACGGTGAGGAGTTGTTAGCCCCACACTCAACCGCCAAGCTGGAGGGCCACCCCTTGTCGACTGTCCGCGACTGCTTATTTAGAACCTTAAAATTTGCAGAGTTTTTAATACCCACCTGATTCAGGCAACACTAGAGTTACTTTCTCTTCATTTTGAGTTTGGTCATCCATTGTTGTTTCAAGCTGATGGCTTGGCTGATCATTCAATTCTTGAATTACATTTTCAGTATTTTTCATATCTTCCTGTACATCCAGTGGCCCAAAAATACTTTCAAATAGACTAGGTTCAGAAGCTGGAAGTGGTTTGGAGTTTGAAATGTCATCTGTTTTGTCAACATTTTGTTTGTCTTCCAGGTGATTAATTTCAGTTCCCTCTTTTGCTGTTGGTTCAAGCTAAAACAAAAACAGGAATTATATTTAATCATATTATTTTCATGTTTAGAGCTGCAGTAAATATTAGCTTTCTTCAGTATGTATATTTGTTAAGAAGGTTTAATTCTTATCTACACCAGATTGCAAAATGAACAGTGTTGTTGAATTTGATTTGGTTGATCTTGTTCTGTCACACTAGCAATAGTATGAACGATAATCAACTCAATCCAGTGTGATTGATAAATGTTTTTTTCTTCAATTTAATCTTTCATCCTTGTCATGTTTCGGTCTGAGAGACCATATGATTGATATGTCCTTCTGAAGATGTCTCTCAGACCCAAATATGACAAGGATGAAAGATTAAAAAGGAGAAAAAAGAATTATCAACCACACAGGACGGAGTTGATTATCTTTGATACTAATGTTGTTGACTTTTCATATCAATTTTATGATTCAATTTTTAGATTCTGTTTCAAAATTAATCAGCAGAAATAATTTATTTAGATCTGTCTTCTAATAAGTGGATAATATTCCCATTCTTTACAAAAATAAACGACTGTGACAACAAGACTTATAATTGACATTTTGATGCAGTTTTCACATGATAGATTTTATATATATTCATATATGGCTGGTTCATAAATAAATTTTCTAAGGAAACAGGACTTATTAAAATGGTGTTCACAATTCAGTGGACAAACATACTAAGGTCTGTGAGTTATGTTACACGATATAAACCATAATTAAATTTCTGCTGACCTGTGCAGGTGTTCAGCAAGATTAATATATTCGTACATTGCTCTGCAGACCGTTTGTACTATACCCATGACACATATTTCATGGTTATACCAAAAAGGCCTTCCAGTCGATTTAATGCAGGACCAGTGGAAGAGCGGGTACATTGTGTTTCAAAACATTTTATGAAGAAATCATACACTTTATTTCACATTATACAGGTGTGCAGATGCATTCTGACTGGTCATCCATGTGTACTATTAACAAGAAGTTCAAGGCAGAACTCATAAATACTACTTTCCTGCTGTATAGATTTCCAGCCCTATGGGTATGTTGTTGTTGTTTTAATTTAATATCTTTTATTTTATTTTACTTTTTGTACATATTCTCCCTGTTTTCAGTTTGTTGGATGTAACATCAAATTTTCAATTATTAACTCACAAACAAGATACCATATATATGTTGGATTGTTATGCTCTATTGCCACACACAAGTTAACATGCCTATCTCCAGTATTTCATTAGTTACCATTATTAAGCTGAGAAATAAAAAAAAAATTCTCACAGCCACCATATTATTATTTTACATTCTACAGAAATATTTCCCCTAATAAAAGTTTACTTCCATGATTTATTTTATCCGTCTTCTAGTGCATACATTTATTTATCCCCTCCTTTCACTCTCACTACATGTTTCGGCACCAATGTGCCATCTTCAGGTGCTGATCCAATCCACGACAAACTAATTCATTGCATGCCTTGTCTTTACATACTAAAATAACTAAAATATATATTTATCATATATACTGACAAATGTCAAGTGTTAAAATACTAAAACTGTACAGCATATTTCTTTCCTACGTCGTGTTTCATTACGCGAGTCACGTCTATCATCCTCTGTTGGAGCACTCTCTCTCACTTGACATTTGTCAGTATATATGATAAATATATATTTTAGTTATTTTAGTATGTAAAGACAAGGCATGCAATGAATTAGTTTGTCGTGGATTGGATCAGCACCTGAAGATGGCACATTGGTGCCGAAACATGTAGTGAGAGTGAAAGGAGGGGATAAATAAATGTATGCACTAGAAGACGGATAAAATAAATCATGGACTTAAATCAGTGCAACAGGACGCTAAAATATAACATTATTAAAAGTTTACTTATTTTAATGGCAATTACCATACATCATTTCAGGAGCCTAAATTATGTGTTGGCAGTATTACTCGAACCTCAGTTTCGCTCATCCAACCGTTTTTATTACTGATTGTAGGAAATTAAAAAGTGTAAAGATGTAGTGGCCTTTAATGGCATAGTGTTCGTACACAGTTTTTGTGAAAATCAGTGAAATGGTTCACATTCATGATGATCTCTTTCATTGATGGGAAGCAGGCTCAAAAGTAAGAGAAGATGCTAGTGCAATATAATACTCCAGGTGCACTGACAACGGACTACTAAAACTGTGACAGAAAATTCCAAAGGTTTAGATCTGATAATACCAGAGCCTACCAGTAAACTCAACTATCGTCAATTCAATCCACATTCCATCCTCAAAAACTCTTCTTCTATGATCCAAGTGGATCTTTCCCCATTAAAATTCTATATTAATTCCTTATCTCCTCTATCCAAGCAATCAAAATGGCCTACTGTAGCACCTTGAGTTCACAATTTCAAAAATACTACACTCAATTCAGGGAAAGAATAAACACAGTTTCTTCCTCACCAATGTGCCCAGTAGCTACCTCCCATACAAATGCTTGCCCCCACTCCTACCAATAGTTCCTTGTATTCTGGCTTTTCTTCCATCTACATGCTCTCTCAATGTGTTTGGTGTTGGCAGGAAGGTGTGCAATATAGGTAGAGCAGGGAAGCAGGCAGCCAACTTAAACTCCCACCATCCATGTTCATTTTGTCCCTGACTTGAGTGCAGGCAATCTGTGTAAATCCCAAAGTTCCTTAATTGGGTCCATTATACACCCACAAGTTGCTGATGAAGCAGATGGCCCTCAATACATGAAGAATAGCTACAGTTGTATTGGTAAGCTTCCACAGAAAGCCAACAAGGGCTGGTTTTCCAGCTTGGAGATCCAATGTAGGCTTAAAAGGCCTTCACCATGACATGTTTTGTACTATTGAATTTCAACGGTCTTAACATATTTTATTTTGGGGGTTCATTTTCTGCCCTTTGAGCAAATAACGCAAGACATAAAGGAAATCTGCGTAAGTTTTCTATACACACATATATATATATAACTTTTATAAGAGATAGAATATCTTGTCTTCATCAAATATGTGAGAACAAGCTAGATTTTCTATGTATAGTATACAATATAATACCTAAGCATTATCTCAGGTGTTAAATCTTGAGAAATCAGTACTCACCGAAGCTAAAGGTGGTGCCAAAACCAGGCTACCTCTGAAAAATAAATTAAACAGATTGTGGTCAATGTCATAAGGTCCTTTAACTTGTCTGTATTGTGTTTTCTCAAAAACAGTAAATAATGTGAGCTCTATTGAAGTGTAATTCAGTAGGGCATCGGTGCTGGAGTCTTACCTTACAATGACAAGTTCAATAAAGTTACCCGCTTCAATAAGAAACTTGGTATACTCATGGTGTGTCAGGAATGAAAGAGGCTGTCCGTTGGCCTGTAGCAACATGTCCCCCACTTTCAAGCCTGCTTGCTCTGCCAGGCTGTTTGCTGTTACCTAAAAGCAAGTATTACAATTACTTGTCATTGACGTCGTGGAGTTTGGTCTTCCAAGGTATAGTAGCTGTCAGTATTAATACATTTTTTCCAGTAGGTGTATTGTCATACAAATCTCGGATCACAAGTTATAATGATTTATCAGTTTTTGTCACATTTCTTTAAAAAAAAAGTTGCTTTAGTCCCTCATTAGAAACTTTGCTCATAAAGAAACAGCTTACATGGATGTGAATTCTATTCAACGGACTCAGGATTAAGACCATTAACAACCTAAGGCAGCTAGAAAAACACATGAAAGACTTTCAGCACACATGGAAAAGATATGCATATGAAATTTTTTATTGGGATATTGAAGAAAAGATGTAAGTGTAGATGGGAGGGAGATGTTAAAATGTATCTTGAGGAAATAGGATCTGAAACAGTTTCACTTAATATGTAAGTTATCAAAAATTGAAATTTGTTTCTGGCAAGGGTTGAGACTCCATTGCTCTCTGAAGCATAAATACCCTCACTGACTAGAATAGTGACAAAATGGCAAGCTGTTGGCTTTTATGACAGTGTGAGTGATTAGCCTTTTACTGGCCCCACTAGTCAGATTCATTAGTATGATATGGGTTCACATTTACTGCCTTTGCATCACAGTATTTTTATGGTTTATTAGTTAGACTTGAAAATTCAATAAATGTTATCCTTTTATCTTTTTTATAAGGAACTGTTTTGGTACAGGAGCATGAATTTTGGGGTTTAAAGCTATATAATTAGACTTATGCTTTTATTCATTTACCTCGACAAATACTTAAACAAGAGCTGGGATAGCTCAGTCAGTGTAGTGGTAGTCAATGGGCTGGGTGGCCGGGGTTCAATTTCCAGCAGGGGAAAGAGATTTTTCTGTACTCCATAGCAAGGAGACCAGCACTGGGGTCTAGAAAACCTCCTGTCCAATGGGTTATCAGTTCTTTTTCTTGGGGTAAAGCTGCTAGAGCATGAAGCTGACCACTTACTGCCGTCTAGTGCTGAAGTCAAAACTGGTGGAGCTATCCACCCACTCTGCCATACATCTTCATGGGTGCAGGGCTTAATTAATTAAGCACAGAAACAACTTTACCTTTACCCAGACATATGCTAACCATTTACAAGAATGTGGATCCTGGTGCTGGGTGATCACACAGTATAGATGTTGGCTATATTTTCGATATTTCAGAGATCCATCTGCCGGGTAAAGTGATTGTCCAGCGGCCTATGCTAATACTTAAATGCAAGCTTATCAGTTAATGGGAATTACCACTTCCAATTCAATTAACTGAGTAGTAGCTAAAGGGTATCTAAAGGAAAGGAAAATGGACAGATTTCAATGTCTGTTGCTTACTAATTTGATTTGTCTCAGTACAAATGACACAGCACGCACGTAAACTACATGACTAATAATAAGAACATAAAATCAAGAGAAATAAATGACATCTTCCACCATCAGGAGGAAAACAACATGACCCAATGTCAGCTCACAATATTTTAACATAATAACCAATTTGTTACATGCAAAAGAAAATTTTAATACAATTTTAAATACATTGGGAGGCTAATGTATGAAAAGTGAATATCATATTGCGTGCAGTGGAAAATCGCAGTCAGAATACCCAGCAAATACGCATAAAAGAAACAGCATCATATGTAAGTCTACTCTTCAAGAAGCGCCGTCATGAATGCCTGGGACAAACACCAAAACCAACCGTGATAATAACAAAATTGATATAGTGAGCATTACTCATAGCTTAAGTGCATATGGTTAAAACATCTTATGTGACAGTGTTTCCTGATTGTAGTGGTGCATCTCTGAGGATGATTCTTTTGAATCGAAACATGTAAGGTGAAAAAGACTGAAGTGTTGTAAACTTGTATGTCACACTGGACTGAAAATTATCCATTCTGTCTGTTGCTTACATTTACAAGGTGTCATCTCTGAGAAATATGATTTCACATTAGCACTGAACTATCACAGAAGCCAAATACCTTTTTCTATGAAGGTTAATGGTCCAAGACTAAAATAATACCTCAGAACAGCATCCCATATAATACTGTATGTGATTAAGTTATTTTTCAGTATAGTTTCATACTTATGAATAACTGTACCTTTATCACTGTTACAGGTGTCCCGAAATCCAGGCCGCCAGTAACACGAAATCCCCAAGGTTGGTCATCTGTCTTGGAGAGTGTAATTGCTTCAGCCATATCACTGATATTTTTCTGCATCTTGAGCCACTTTTGTCCTAAAGCATTCATATATTACATATAAAACTTAGTTATCTCAACATTCTACAGGTAGTACTTAAGAAGAAAGATACATTTAACATACTTATAAGTTGGAGCAGCTTGTTCGATGCTCCAAACAGAAGGTCCTTCAAAATAAACAGAGGGCATCAAAGTGACAAGTTGAGGCAATGAGGTAGAAATAAATATAGTACCCCATACAGCTGACGAGCCCAGGGACTGCACTTGGTCTGTGCAAAGTTCATCCTGTTACAGTGATACTTGACATTGATCGGAATCCATTGGGCAAAGTGCCAGATATGTCTGGGTGTTGATATATATGCACATGGAACTTGCTAATGAGAATTTGTTGGCAACTCTTGTGTTATGCAGGGGTAAAGAACTGAGTGCCAGCCGTAGTTGGTCCAATGAAGCATAACTAACTCCATGTAGTGGATTTGTTCTTAAGTACCTAGTAGTTGCTAAGCTACTCAAGAATTCCATACATTTTATGAACCCATAGGCTCATGACTGAATTCACAACAGCCTGCCACTGGGCCCCATCCTGAGTCAAATGGCTATGGCCTACACCTTCATAGCTTACTTCTTTAAGATCTATTACAATATTATCTGTCCATCTATACCTGAGTCTTGGAAGTGGTCTCTTACCTTCAGACTTTCAAACTGAAATTTTGTACAGATTTCTTCCGTCTGTGTCACAAAGCTCCATTTCTCTCATCCTTCCTGATTTGATCACCTAAAAATATTTTTTTTTCAACTGTCTCCTGCCTCCTGTTACTTACTTTCTTTTAGGTGCAAATATTCTTAGCACCCTGTTTTGAAACACCTTTGATCTGTGTTCTGTGTGGTTGTCGTTAGTGCACCAAGATGCTGCTCTGGACAATAGCATCCTTGTGCTGTGAGGTGATTAGTATTAGGCTGGACACCCTCTCTACTTTTTTTATCCTTCTATCTCCTCTGATCCATTTTAACACATTTCTATGTCGTTATATTCTCTGTATCTTGATGCTCTCAGACTAGTAACTTAAACATGCCCTTTTAACACTATATTTTAGTACATTAACATTTATCATCTGGAATAGGGGATTTTAAATCCCCTAACACTATGGGCCAGGAGCCAGATTTTAACTGGGAGGTAACAGCTTTAGTACTGAGAAATGCAATGTTTGGCCAGCTGGACCATATCATCATCATCATCAGTAATCTGTCAGATGACAGGTCCACAGTCTCTTCCAAAACAATTCCTCCACTTAATGTGATCTAGAGCTTTCTCATTCAAAAAAAAAAATATACGTATATATATGCACCATTACAGTACTCTAACACAGATCAATGAACACAAAGTGAGCAGGGGACATCCAGTTTTACATAATTCTGATGTGTAGGCATACCAAAATGTTAATTACTGCCTTTTTAAGGCATGCAGCCATGTCATATTGACAAACAAAACATAAAGCTCATTATACAAGGTATGAATTTTGAGTTCTGAATCCTCAGTCTAAAGCTCTTGTTAACTGCTTTACTTCGTTCCATTCAAAAGATAACAGAGATTACATAAGAGAAAAAAATATATATATATATTTATTATTTGGTTCAACTCAAAATGTTACGTTATATGTGTGAAAAGATAAGTGGTATGAGACAGACTAATAAATGACCAATTATTAAGATTTTGAGAGGTGATATACCAAGTGTAAATTAAAGGTCTGACATTAAAGTAACAGCAAGTTCTTAAAAGAGTATGCATAGGCTCCTTTCCAAGTTACAAACCTCTTCCCTTTTATAAAATTCCATTGTCTCCAGAGACAAAAACTGACTGGATTAAAATTAGGTATCCTCTACCTATCCACTGGGTAGGGTACATGCTATCTAAGAATTCTTGAATGTTATGGAGCACCATCATGTATCACCCACGTGTTCTCTGATCACTAATGGAACATAATCCAAAAACACAGGTGAAATGTTTTCTAAGATATGTCAATAACAGCTTTCTATTAGCCTTCAAGGCACAAACCAAGTGTCCGCCAAAACTTGCCAACATTAATTTGAGCTGTTGCTGCTGTCTCAACCAAAGAACAGCCTAAGAAGTTTTCACTGGCCACATGTGACAGTTGTAAAAATTCACTATGTCATCCCACTGCCTTGTCTCTAAATAGCACTGAAAAATGAAGGAGATTTTTTCACATTGCTGCATAAACCACTGAATGCCTCCCACAGTGAAAATTAACCAGATAAAGACTGAAACAAAGGGCTGTAACTCAGGAAGGAGGCCTTTCCAGATATTTCATATTACCTTAAATCATTTTGGTACGGAGAATTTATCCTTGCATTTATAAACCTTTAATTCACACTCTGTAATGAGGAACAATGGAAAATTGGCAAGTAATTATAAATAAAAAACCGTTTTATTCACAATAAATTTATATAATTCATTTGTCAATAGTTCATCACAATAATCCAAAATTCATATGCATTATGATAATACATTATAATATTTTACAATGTATACAAAGTATTTGTAACATACCTAAATGAGAGGTATAGCTGACCACTTTAATCCTGTTTTGACACATGAATGCAATATGTAATCTTGATATGATAAATTTTTGCTTCTTCAAACAGAGGTCAGAGGTAGGTTTTCCATCACCCCCAACATTAAGAAAACATTCCTCAGGATGATCTTGGTTGATATGCAGAGAAACAAGTTTTTGTTAAAACAGGGCTAATATAAATTGTGCACAAAATAGAAAACCTAAATATATATTCATGTTAAAACATACAATAAAACTATATAATGACTGTATTAACTGTTATCACAGTTTAATGTAAGCATTACTTGTTGCTTGGCAACTATAAATGTATGCAGCCATCCCATCATCTTTGAAAATTCAGTACTTGCAAATTTGCTTATTCACAGTCAAGGACCCAGCAGTACATTATCACAAATTTTATTTGAAAATACTTCATGATACACCCTTTCAAGCTTTGTCTACCCTGTGCTCATGCCTCACAAAGGAAACATAAGTAATGTTAGCAATGTCAGTGCGAATGTAATATTACGAAGAAAGAGAGACAACAAATTGATTATAAGGGTACATACATATACAAATCACAGTCCATTACCTTATTTTAAAGCTGTTCACCATTATCTGAAGAATATATCCCCTGAAAATACACAGGAATGCTGGAGTGACTTGCTTGTATTTCTTCAGGAGTATGCAAATGCAACTAAATAATCAGATAATTAAGACAAAGATCCCAGATGACTCCTTGGAGGACTGCTTCATTATAAGTACAGCCATTATTGGCATCCGAACACAAGATATTTATATAAATAAAACTGAGAGACATAATAGACTTTTCACTGATGCACGGTATCTGTCTAGAGAATTATTCGGACATTAAGACATTACAATAATCATAACTGTTAATTTTGAATGTGTACCACACAAACTGTTACATAGTCTCCAAAAGATTCTTTACTCAACACCTACCCAACCTTCAAGACCCATTTACTCATCTTAAATATATGATTATATTTATACTAGATATCAAAAGTAGCTGCCTATCAATAAAGATCACAGTAAAAATATTCATGATGGTATTATATTCAATAGTCACATATCAACAGAATTATACATCAAGCACATGTGAGTTTATTACATGGCAATGCAACTGCACAATCCTGTTTGCTCAAAATACTGACTCAACAGAAATTATATTTTTTGGCTTTCTCATGCATGTAGTATATATTGTAATGAGGCCGCGCCATAGCTCAAGCAGTTAGTCGCCGGCTTCCCACTGCAGCGGCCTGGGTTCGATCCCTGGTCTGGTCAAGTGGGATGTGTGGTGGAAAAAGTGGCACTGGGGCTGGTTTTCTCCGAGTACTTCGGTTTCCCCTGCCAATCTTCATTCCACCAATTGCTCCACAATCACCCTCACCTATCATCTGGGGCTGGTACAATAGGCCAGAAGTGGCCGCAGTACAAGGGACTTAGGCCCACCCCTCTAGCAATAAAAAAAAAAGTATTGTAATCATGAAAAATAATCAATCTTCAGATTCTGATAGGTTTACTCATTTTCTGCCTCCTCATTATGAAAAACTGGTTTTTGGAATGCCATAAGCTCATCTATATGTATGTATATTTGCATGGATGTGGACCTTGCTAGCTCCTGAACAATCTTAATAGACTTTATTCACATTAGGTAGTTAAGAGTTTATCCATCATATGCCAATGCCCAGTGAATAAGAACATTCTAGCTCTTAAAATAGGGGCCCTCTATAGAGGGGCTCAAAAATTCAAAATGGTGATACTCTCAAAAACATCTCTGACAGATACCCTGTACAAACATCATATTAACAAGTAAATACCATCCCACCACATGGAATTACTTTATGTACACTAGAGTTAAGAAAGATGTTCAGAAATTGTGGGGTGACCACTATGATAGAACAACATGTTTATAAGAATGTGCAACAGAGGACCGGATGGGCATTGCCTAGGCATTTTTTGTACATACATGAATTTTTAAATAAAAAAACAGACATTCACAACCACCACATAAAAGACAACAATTCTCCCAAATACAAGGCAAGAAACAGCTTTAACTAATGTCAAATCTCAATACTTAACTCCAAAATTGTGCACTTATATATTAAAGAAAACATATTACATTTTCAGAAACACAATGAAAAAATGCAATCACATATCTACAAGCCAGCAAAACACATTCTACATCAATACAAGGCAAAAAAAAAAGGGAAAAACATACCCCTTCCTCCACATATACGACGTATATTCTTATAAAAAATGTGTTCACATTCCATACCGGGAAGAGAAATATATCAGTAGAAGACACACATCTACACACAACTGCTACATCCAGACAAAACATTAGAAAACCTTCTATGTACGTTTAATTTTAACTTTAATGATTTAACATTTTAACATTTAGTAATTAATCTTAGACTTGAACACACCTTTTTATATGTAATGACATTACATATAACTAAAAGACCATCATTCCAATATGTAAACACTGACCAGTGTAAGAATATGAGCTGACAAAAATACAGGTGACTGTTAAAAGTCAAATAAATACCTGAAGAGGACTTACTGGGCCAAAACATGTTGTAAAAAACGAATGTATGGTGCGTCCATACTACCTACTGTGATGACAGAATAAAATTAAAGAGTATTTCCAACTTCAGCTGTTTCAATTAAATGCCAATGGTTGATGGAGATGATATTCCTAAATAACATTGTATAGGTGGTTCCTTCAGGAAATAATGGTACATGCACTAGTGACCTAAATGCAAAATTACATCTTTCTTAAAACTGGCTTTCCAGTCACATGGCTGTCATTGTTTTTCAGCATTAGGCAACCAGGAATGGTCTACCAGCAACAATCAATTTCATTTCCAAGATGACATAGTCAAGGTCAATTGTATATGAGAAGGCATTAGCAGTGCCTTAGCACCAATTTATTTTTTTATATTAGCTGAAGGTGGTAGAGATGTTCAGTTGACTATGATCAGACCACTTAGAAGTGTATAAAAATTTAGATAAATTCACTTTAATAATACATACTCAGCAAATCCATTACCTCGATATGTGGGGCCTTGCTTGAAAAGTCAACAGCTGACATTCCTCTACTTTTTATAGGATATTGTGTTTACTTCCACATTCCAAAAATCTGATGCCAGACCCTGTCTGTATGCGCACGTATGCACATACGCACACACACTTTCTCTCTCTTGTATAGCCACAGTCTAAGTAACAGGAAAGAATCATACTGAAATAACAATTTTATAAATTGAGTTTTTTTACCTTTTTAAATTCTATGATCATAATAGATTAAAACACAACACTAGTGCCTGTATGATTATGCTGCAGCAATAATTAGAATAAAAGGAACTGCTTGAAGATGTAATATAAAAAATTAACATGTAAAATTAAACTAGAAAAACTAAACTTACATGAAATCTAATATCAGTCAGAAGCAATAAATATGAGCTCACAGCTACATATATGTATGTTTATACATGATCATTAACTTAAAAAATACATAACCACATAAATGCTGCATAAACCCAATAAGTCATGTGTAGAGATTTGAAAGAATTTTTATTGCATGCTAAAGGCAACAAGATACAGTGGTGCCCCCTTACAATGTTACTCCATTTTAGGTTTTGCCTGATTTAATATTTAATTTCAGTGATCCTAACTCAATAAATGTAATGTTATATTTTAGCGTCCTGTTGCACTGATTTAAGTCCATGATTTATTTTATCCGTCTTCTAGTGCATACATTCATCTATCCCCTCTTCTCACTCGCACTACAGTATAACACACGCAGTCACAGGAGCAAGACGCAACACAGAGCACAATACACGATAGTGAAAGAGTGCTCCAACAGAAGATGATAAACGTGACTCGCGTAATGAAACACGACGTAGGAATGAAATATCCTGTACAATTTTAATATTTTAACACTTAACATTTATCAGTATATAAGATAAATATATATTTTAGTTATTTTAGTATGTATAGACAAGGCATGCAATGAACTAGTTTGTCGTGGATTGGATCAGCACCTGAAGATGGCATTTTTGTGCCGAAACATGTAGTGCGAGTGAGAAGAGGGGATAGATGAATGTATGCACTAGAAGACGGATAAAATAAATCATGGACTCAATAAAATTAAAACATCTGTATTCATGATTTTCTTCAGTTTAGTATTCAAATTCACTAATCCCCAAAGAAACCTTAAATACAAGTTTTTGCTTCAAAATAAGTGTATGTTGATTAAATACTACAATAGTCTGTGATACACCAGCTCAAATAAAGCATTATTATTTTAATTTGTAGTCTTCAGGGTTATGGCACCACATGGTGTTGGAAAAACTTGCTACCTCCATCTCTCCAAATTATATGTACTGGTAACCACACACAAAACTAAATAGTATCACAACCAAGAAGAACACAATCTAAGCTTTCACTGCTATGAAAACCTCATATCTCACTAGTTACTGCATTCAACAAGAACAGCTTTTTTAACGCTATGAATAAGTGGATTTCCATATATTTTCATAATACTCTTTTGTAAAAAATGTAAAATATATATCTATCAAATCTTTCAACATAAAATAAAAAATAAAAACATATTTAAAAATCTGTGTGTATAATGACAAGCAGCCATGTGAAGATGAGAAGATGCCAACTCCTGTAGATATAGTAGACCGACTACAGCTGAGATAATTGTAGTCACTACTACACACCACAATAAAAGAAAGCAGATTTGTTTTGTAGTTTTATCTATTAAAAATCATTCATACTTTTCAAAGAATCAAATCATAACTAGCTGCAGTTATTATTGTTATAAATAGTGATTTTTATAGATGAAACCAAAAACCTTTCTAAAAATTCAAAATTGGCTTACAACATTTGGCTGTAAAAGTTTTCATCTTTCTTTACATATAATTCTTCCATGAATAATCAAGAATTGACTGTATAGTATACTGAAATTCCCAACTTATGGAAAACAAATTAAACAAGGTTTACATTCTGCATAATTTGTATGTTAAGCTTTAATGCAGCATGGGAGTGATTCTCACTTATATTCAGAGGAATTTTAATCTACATATATACTGGAAATAACCAAACATATTGTCATGTGTCCGGGGTTCTGTGACTAACAATAAAGGGCTCTGGATTGGATGATCAGATTTATTCACACCTTCTCTTACAACCAGTATTAATTATAATCAATTATAAGAGCTCACAATCAATGACTGCCAAGACTTGCTCCATTCCTTACTGGACTATGAGTCTCTTCTCTTCTACTGTGACTGAGTTGGTTCTGATTTACGAGTCGGTCACTTCTTCGGCTTCCGTTGTCCGCTGGTTAACACTCCACAGCTGAACACTCAATTCAACTGTTGAACTCTAAACTCTCTTACAAATAAATGCATTCTTACATGTGACCCCTTTATAACTTCAGAGAGGACCAAATACAGGTCATCACCTCCAACAGTTCCTCTGTTATTGTGTGCTGATTGATTGCTATAGGAACGTGTCTACTGACCCATTATCCAGCAATGGATGTTCTTCCACTGTTGCAAGCGAAACCACAGGAACATATTTACCGAGCCGTTGCCTAGCAATGGTCTTATGCATCACAATGTTTACATTTCTTCATATCAGTAACATATAGTAGCAAATGTCTGATTGTTCTTTCAACATGTTGACTTGTCATAAAAGTTACTGATTCTTTTTACACATTCCTGATAATAAGAGTCAATACAATACAGCTACAATACAAGTCTGTCCTTTAAAAATTAACTGAGATAGGTCACACTCTAACACTGCATCAACTGCTGTTAGCAGGCTTTCAGTTCCATGCAATTCATAAATTTCATTCTTATATGGTTTAGTTCAGATTACAGATCTGTCTCTAGTAAAGAAAATATTACTGTTATTAAAATTCAATGCATTGATTACTCTCAGACTGTCTCAATCCTACATATCATTAATTAACATGAATTTACATTCTACTGCTCATATGTGGTATGCAGAAAGAGATAACATTACAGGGATAAAGATACAGGAAAAGTGATATATTAATGTGTATGAGATCATATTCCAACAAAGAGAAAATGATAATAGTTCCATTTTATTCGCAGGAGCCAGATCCATATGGCATATCATCTGTAGATGCATGGGACTGGTCATCTCTGCACAGCGCATATGAATCTGGAATTTCAGCCCACTTCTGTCTCTCTCCAGATGCAAACAGACCATAGAACACTGCTCCAGCCAGGTACACACCACTTGCAATGTAGAATACCACTTCCCATTCTTCATGAGTCTGTATCATAATATGTTATTATTAGAACACAATTGTTACATATTTTTTTAGACTAAATATAATCTACAATGGAACAATAACATTCCAAACTAATGAAAGCACTGGTTTGTTTGGGTTAGAAAACCATTCAGATTACTGCATTTCAAATAAAAAATTGGAAGTTTTTAGTGCAATTATTTACTCAGAAAGATTTATAGGTACAATTTATATGTAAACAATGACTGGAACCAGTGGACACTGGACTACATTCTGGGCTCAGGGCAAGTGGTAATTGGGTTACATATTTCACTGCCTATAGAGGCAGATCCATAACTCATAATATCACATTTCACAAAAATTAATTTTTACTGTAAAGAATTAAATTTGTATTTTTTGGAGGTGCCGATTAGGGGGGGGGGGGTACTGTATGTCAGTTCAAATTACTGAGGTTCCAATGCATATCCATCAAAATGTTTAGGAATACACAGAAGCAAAGGTATGCATACAGTATGCTCATAAATTTTCTTCATGTTACATACATGTATGCAGTGCCTAAGATCATTGCATAATATTAAACAACATTTTAAGCCATGTAAGAGAGACTATGGGAAGCCGAGACAGCGTAGTCAGTATAGCAACTAGCTACGGGCTGGACAACCTAGGGGTTGGAGTTCAAGCCCTGGTAGGTTCAAGAATTTTCTCTTCTCCACATCATCCAAACCAGCTCTGGTGTCCACCCAACCTCATATCCAGTGGGTACCGGGGATAAAGCAGCCTGGACATAAAGGTGACCACTCACCTCCAGAGAGCGCCGAGGTCAAGAAAATGTGGATCTATAAATCCAATCCCCCAGATGCATTCATGGCGTAGTGCTTAATCAGTTAAGCACAGGAACAACTTTACCTTTTTTACCTTTTAAGAGAGAGTATGACAACCTAATTTAGAATTTCATACTAACCTTATGCTGCACAAGATGGCCTGTTAGCAGAGGGCTGGCCATGCCTGGCAATGTAGCCACAGTGTTGGATAAGCCCATGAGAATGCTGGCAAACTGGGGTGCAATATCCAAATGGTTTACGCTGTAACATTTAAAACACAATAAGAAAAACAACCTCAAATTGCCCATTCACAGTAATATTTCTTAACATTTTCAGAAAAAAAATATTCATATTAAAAACATTCATTCTTTTTCTCTGAGTTCTCAGTTCATTCATTGAGTTCTTTGATATATTCTGACATCATACATATTAACTCATTTTTACAGCTGTCACACAAACAACATATATCTTTATGATATAATCTTATGTTGGTACATGTTTTGACCTCAGTCATCATGAGGTGGCTCATTGAAAGAGACAGTTAGTTTCTATACTGCAAATGTACATGACATACAGAATCATACAACCATAGAACTGTACCTGAAGCCAGCCCAGGCAAAACCTCCAAATCCTACAGCAACAGTCAGGCATACCACAACAACACTAGGAGTTGTAGAATGTGCAGCTGCTATTAGAAACAGTGTCTGGCATCCAAAGGCACAACAGTTGCAAAGTTTTCGCACCTAGTGTTGGCATAGAAAAAAACATATAGAATAATTTTTAGGTATAGGAGTTCTGGGCTTTGCAGGCCTTTGTTCATAAAAGGATGAAACATAAAACATTTTGAAATTGGAGAAGCAAGTCAATACCAGTGAAATTCATAGGAATATCATGCAGTTCTCTGAATAATTGTAACCATAACCATATCAACAGATTATAGTTTTAATTAAGCCTATATTCTAGTCACACAGTTTTAGTTCTCAGATTACAAGAGAAAATTGCTCTAAAAAATTAAGAAACTGGCCAAATATATCTGGGATGTTAATTAATTAATTATTCAGTGGACATGACACCACCATTCTATTTGTGCTTGACAGTACTCCCAGACTCAGTACATGATATACAGTTGCATCCTGTCTCTTACAGGAGAGCTGGAAACCATACTTTATAATCTCAAAATATCATGGCTGTATTATGGTTACACAGAAATCTGCCAAATTGCCTTATTTTCTTTTTACGACTCTTAAGGCAAAGGCATCACAGAAAATGTTAATGAAAACTAAACAAATTATGTTAAATGTACACAAGTTCTCTTTCAGAAACACTATCATGAGTTTCTCATAAGGTAAATATTAACAACTTACAGGAATTCTTAATCCAAACCTAGTATTATATATTTTACTGTTCCTTCAAATGCAAAAGCTTCACAAACCACCACTCTTCCCTCACTCTCACTACAAGCACCCACTACAGAACTTAACATGAGTTTCCAATTACCTCTGTAGTTGTGATATGTCCCTCAGACCTCATCCTGTCAGCTAAGAACCCACCAACTTGCACCATGATACCCATGACTAAATAAGGCAGGGAAGCAAGCAGACCTGCATCCTTCAGATCAAACTTCAGTACATCTGCACACAGAAATACAAGTCAAAGGATTTCCCCTCTTTCATAAAGTATGAAGTATAATCATCTACTCTGCTGTATAAATGTGGTATGAATGATAATAAAACAAAAATGTACAATATTAACTTAGTAAAGAACAGTAGCATGTAAGTACTACAGTTCTCTTGACCTGAGATGGATTCTAAGCATGCCTAGCAATAAATTGTTTGCAGCTTAGGAATGTCAACAGCATAAAGTAACAAGAAGCGCAGTGAAGAGGTTTAGACATATCTTGTTTCTGTTTCAAAAATATCTAGTACCCACTGATCTTACCAAAGTCTCCATTCATCCTCCTCATCAGACCATTTCAATTGAATTCTGTTTGTAACACTCATCAGCTAACATCAATCTGGAAGTTAATTTTGTTTCAAGTTTTCCCCAACTCTGATTTAATGTTTTTTGTTTGTATGTTTTATTAAACAATATTTAACAAAGAGAAATGTAGGATATTACATCTAGTATGAAGAGAAGAACAATCCACAGCCAGAATATATCTGAATTTTAAAATATTTATGACTTTATGAGAAAGGAAATTCTGAAATTCCTGTAGAACTTATATGAAGCTAGCTTTTTAATTCCTCTTCAGAAGTGCAACGGAAAGTCTGCATAGGCATGTTGTGTATCAATGGCAGCACTACAAGAGATCAGAAATTGGAAAAGAATGTTGTCTTCAAGAGGAGGGTGTTCATTCAGAATATCAGAAAGGTGCAACCTTGGAAATATTATCACTCACTGAATAATTTTGACATGCATTGTAAAAACACTGAACAAGCTCTGTGCTACAGGAAAGGCTCAATACACTATAGAAAAGTACGAAAAACACTGTAAAAAATAAACATATTTAAAGAAGGGAAATGAAGTTCAAGAGTAATCTTGACATCACTGCATCTTGGATACTGAAAGATCAAAAATATAAAGTAACAGATAATATTATACATGAAAGCTATGAAATGGTACAGGTTGATTGTGTATATGGATGAATCATATATGCCAATGTCAGAATGGATGGTCTGAATATCCGGACAAAGGAGGAGAGGGAGGCAAAGAAGCAGGAGGAGGGGAGGAAATACATAACTAAGGCCACAAAATTTTAACATAATAGGTACATAAGCCTCCCAGCACAGATCATATTAATGAAATTGTACTGTATGTATGAAATTTCTTTCAGTAATTAATTGTACTAAATATCTTACCTTTCATGAATGTTGGTAATTCTGTAAGGAGAGTGTAGAAACCCCAGTTTTCACTGAAATGGGCAATCATGATAGCCCAAACAGGCAATGAAGTTAGGAACCTCTTCCAAGGAGGGTCCACATTCTAAGGAGAAGAATAAAGCCACATTAAAAAAGTAGCTGACTGTAAATACTGCTCATATTTTAATGGAACCTGATGTCAATTTTAGTTAATAATGCAACACCAGCAAAAAACAAAAATTAGGTTGCATGTTGCATTTCTCTAGGCAAGATGTTCTATTAATGTCTCTCTTAGTGAGGTTCAGTTTATGGAGGCTTCACTGTATTTTTCATGGTTACTAATACAGAGAAAGAATTAGATAAATTGCTTTTCAGTTCGAATGCAAACAGAAGTTAATGTTCAGTCTTCAAGGAATGCAGTTTACAGATACCATATGTATCATTAATGACTTGCCACTTGCAAGTAACAACAGTTTACAACAAAGCAATGAAGAAAAAGAGTTTGTTTCGTATTGATGAAGACAGTGTGTGTATCTCTTGAGTGTTCCAGTATGCTTTTCCTAAAGTAATCTCATGCTAACTCTGGGGGTTACATTCCTGAAAAACATGTAGTTGGCAAGGTATGAGCCTTAAGGGAACCAGGAGCTGCTGCTAACACCTGTAAGGCACTGATGCCTGAGGCCCATGAAAAATACATCTAATGATGAACTAAGCCATATATCTATACAAAATTATAGGTACCTTACACATAAAATATCAAAAAAGTCACCCAAAGATTTAACACTTTGGTAATATGGAAGCTATAAAATTGGTTTAAAGTGACATGACAGCCCTAACCCTAAATGTGAATATCTTCATGCAGAAACCACTGAAATTTTCCATGTGTAGATAAATTAAAAGCCATTGTGGGGTTCTCTTGTCATCGATGTGTGTAGTCTTGTCACTACTCCTATGACAACCCACTTCTTCGGAACAGCTTGTTGGCCCTGAAAAGGACCGTGGCTGTTGAGGTGCTTGATCGGAGAAATAGCGCGGCGCGCGCCGGTAAGGAGAAAGGCTAGTGAAAGGCGAGTGGCCTGGCTGCAGTGCGGCCGTGGCTGGAGGTTGCTTGGTTGCCGTGCGGCAGCGTGAGTTTAAGGTTGCTTGATCGCAGTGCGGCAAATGGCGGAGGTTGCTGCTGGTGAAAAGGCTAGTCGTTGAGCGCGGTCGTGGGAGCCATGAGGCAGTGGCTACGCCAGATGCCCAGTGGGTCGGACCTCAACACGACCACCGGCGAGTCCAGGCGCGGTGCCCCAGTGAGTCGGGTGTGAGAGCGCTGGAGGGCCGAGGCAGTCGTGCCCGGCGCAGCCTGCCGATGTCTCTGAAGACCGAGCGCTGGCGACGAAGCCTGCTGGTTGAAGTTGCTTGATGCGGCTAGCTCGTAGGCTGATGATGAACTGACTTAAACTGCATTCTGGAGTCGCTCCTTTTTATACGCTGGTCGGTGGGGCGGAGCCAAACTCGAAAGTGAGGAGCAAGAATTGATTGGCTAGCGCGCGTAATGGTGTAGACGCGGGCTATCGCCGAGCGTAGTATAAATGCGATCGTTTGAAGCAATCTGATTGGTTAGCACGCGTGATGGTGAAAAGTGATGTGAAGAGCGAGCGTTGCAGAAATGCGTGATAATGTGGGATGTTCCCACACCATAAATACACACTGGAAAAGCTGGATACAAACCGAAAAATATGGGTACTTCAAATCATCAGTTGGCAAAACCACTGCTAGCAAGGGAGTTCTGAATGTATAATCCAAATATGAACAGAATCCAAGCATAAGGACACAGAATTGAACATGAAACAACTCTGCCATACATATCCATGCCAAAACATGTTATAACTATGGGGTGACCTAACCATATTATAATTCTGATTTATTATGAGTCTAGGAAATTCAAAAGTAAATGCTAACAAACATTTCTAGTTTCTATAAGTGCAATGTTATTCATGCGCAGACAAACTAAAACAATACACCACTACTACCAGGTGTTACATAAGCATCACTATTTGCTGTGGATATAAATGTTGTGCATATGCAATTTGTAAGGTAACAGCAATTAGTATAGAAAATTAGAATACAAAGAAAATAACATGAAAACATAATAAGTTTTAGAGGAAGCAGGACAAGAAGCATGTGCTATGTTTCTGTATGAGCATGATGTCAGAAAAGCAACCCCTTGCATTTCACTGGTGCATATGATTCTACAGTTCTGTTATTATATTGAGGGATGAATTCAGATACTATCTGCCTCCACATAAAAGGCTTTTGAATGTTCATAGCAACAAATCTGAATGCATCATAATACTGTAAATTATTCTTAAAGTCATGTTAGGTGAATAGTCATCTGTTTTCATATATTGTTACTTTGCTGTAAGTGTTGATAATATTTACAGTACAGTCTTCTGGGTTATAATATCCTGTAGTCTGGAGACTGTAACAGTATGGCATGAGTCAAAATATTTTTAGATTTTGTGCATTTAGGGTAACTCAATTGGCCATAGAATACATACTGCATATACTGTGACAGTGCTGTTAATATATACAAAAATTTGAGTTCACATCATGTTCATGCTAATTTTATGATACATTTTGAGTAAACTCCATCAGTGTAGACTATGCCTCCTGTTAATTTCAAGTATGTTCTGTAACAAAATAATGCATTCAGTTGTAAATTATTTACACCACCTCGAGAATACTAGCAAATGAACATGAATTTAGATATGACTTAAAAATGCACACAGAAATGTTTCCTTCATCTTTGCAGTCTATAGACATTGTATTTAGGTACAAGGTGGTTCAAATATTACAGGGATTGATTTGTGCATAAACAAGCTGCACTGCACAGCAACTGTGCGACCTTGAGAGAGTGAAGCCACAACCTCCACCCTCCCTCCTGTTCAGGTTAGAACCTGTTCAGCCCTGTCTGGGAGTTGCTAGAGTGATGAGTGAACAGAAGGTACCGCGGAGTGTGGAACAACGGATTGTGATCAAATTTCTAGTTGGAGAAAATGTCCCATCCGCTGAAATTCACCACAGACTCCAACAACAGTATGGGGAAGAGTGTCTCTCACGGACCTGTGTGTTTGAATGGTGTAAGTGCTTCAGAGAGGGCAGAGAGTGCATGGAGAATGAACCGCATGATCGTCGGCCGCAAACATCTGTCACTGAGCCAAACATTGATCATGTAGACGTGCTTATTCGTGAGAATAGGTGCATCACTATCAAGGAACTTAGAGCAATGCTGTCCATCAGTGTAGGTACCGTAGAAGACATCGTGAAATACCACCTGCACTATCACAAGGTGAATGCATGGTAGGTACCACACCTTGACGGACGTGAACAAAATGGTGCGCATGCAAGCTGCCAGTCATCTCCTACAGCAGTTTGAAGAAGAAGGTGATGCATTTTTGAAGTCTGTAGTGACCACTGATGAAACATGGGTGTACTACTTCATTCCCGAGTCCCAGCAGTCATCACGCAAGTGGCGGCATACCAGTTCTCCCAAACCCAAGAGAGCGCAGAGGAGCCATTCAGCAGGAAAAGTGATGGCAACGATCTTCTGGGACTGGCAGGGGGTTATCCATGTAGACTTTCTGACAGATGCCAGAACAGTCAATGCAGCTTATTACTCAGACCTCCTGGCAACAGATTTGAAGGAAAAGATCCAATCCAAGCGGAAGACAGGTGGAAAGCAGGTAGCCTTCCTTTAACACAAGGCACGCCCCCATGTGGCCAAAACAACAATGGAAACCCTCCAGAAATTGAAATTGAACCTTCTGAGACATCCGCCGTACAGTCCCGATTTGGCCCCAAGTGACTTCTACCTGTTCGGAAGGCTCAAATCAGACTTGCAAGGCATGTGGTTTGTGGACAACAACACCGTCATACAGACCGTTCAGGAGTGGATATGCCGCCAACCATAAGCCTTTTTTGAAAAGGGTATCAGGATGCTTCCAGAACGTTGGAAAAAATGTGTTGACTCCGGAGGGGAGTATGTTGAGGACTGGCATGTGCACGTAAGTGTTTGGCAATTATTGTTTTTTAAAAAAAAATCAGTCCCGGTCATATTTGAACCACCTTTTATGTTTTAACCTGTAAAGATTTAAAAATTTTTATTTAGAGTCTGCCATACCTTCTCAGGCATACAACTGCTTTATTCAAGTAATGTGTAGAATTCATTAGAGACAGGCGCTTTCCAAACACTTCCTTGACTAGTGGGCAGCAGTACGTTTGAGGTTAACATAAAACCCAAATTCTAGTTAATTCTTTCAGAGGGGTAAAATGTGCTTAATTATGTTTATCCTGAAAATCATATGCCACAGTTATTATTTATTAGAAGCCCTTACCCAGGTAATTAGGAGCCACTAAAATCCAAGCTCGTTTCTCCACGACCAGAGCAGAATTAAGAATGATACATTACCACCTTTATATGGTTAGCTGATGGGCCAATAGATGACCGTATGTATTCCAGTTCCACCTCCGTGATTTTGCGATCAGCTTGTGGTGTTTCAGCAACTATGTACCACCACATCATACACCATATCAATGCAAGCATACCTGAAATAATATTTCATGTATGCAATTTCCAAATCAAAACAAAATTCTCAGTATTAAACTCTTCCAAATCCCATGTCTTAGTGAACAAAATCAATATCAAAATTATAACTACAAGAAAAAAGTACAAAACTGTCTTATATTTTGTGACCAGGATAAGGCTAAATTTTCTCCGCAGAGTTTTATCATAATTTATCTTCATGTAAAGTAACAGTTTGGTATGCTTTCTTTCCTGAACACACAATGCTCTGGTATCTGAGTCAAAGTCATCTGTTGCTATAGAAGAAGTGCCACTACCAAAATTCAGTTTGAATTAGCTTTAATTCTGCTTTATTAAGATTTAGTCTGAACTGATCCGTGGATGTGTTAACTCTAAGTGGAAGAATCCCTCTTGTGAAGCAACCAGTCACTCAGCTGTTCAAGAAATTTCTTGCCTTTCCCATAAAAATGTGATGATTCATTACTGTGTTCTCAAGAGCCTATCACTGGCCCTTATCCTCAGCCAAATGAACCCAGTCCACATCCTTATATCCTACTTCTTTAATATACATTTTAATTTTGCTCTTCAGTCTATGCCCTTTTATCAATTGTGAATTACAACTGCAGTCAAGTTGTCTTCAAACAATGAACTTTTATCAGGGAAGCAGATTACAGATCTGTTAGTAATAACTTTCCATATGTGCATGTCAGACCATACTCTGTTTAAGCACTCCACCTTACCTATTTTACTTATGAAGAAACAATTCCCACCCATTATCAGGACTTGGTAGTCTGTTACAGTCTGCCAAACTTCTCTTAGGGAAGTTGCATAAAAAATTTCCTGGATCTGCATGTATTAGATATAAAACAGTACTTTCTCATCAACTTCTTTGACATACCAAATAAGTAGAATATATATGGCCACCCCACATACTCGGCCAACATCCCTGATAATGGAAGAGAGATTACAGTTCCGAAGTAACTTCCTGAGAAAGCTATGGTAGCAAGGCGAGTTCTTTCCAGAGGTGGAGCCCAATGACTCCATACTGCATGTATAGATGGATAGGTTACTCCCTGGAAATACATTTTGTCAGAAACACTTTCTTTTATCCAGTGAATATTTAATAACATAGTTCATTATTTTAATTCTGACCCTCAATAAAATGGCTGATATGGTCTGAAATTATAATTCTTTACTTTATTATGATGCCTGGCATTAAATTCATAATGATTTGTCAATGTAACATGTAATATTTTTTCCCAGGTCCATATTTGAGACTTCAAGGTAGTTCAAATTCTTTAATATGGATACAGATAATGATGAAAATTAAGACTTTTCTTTCAACGTTACACTCAAGGTGTAATCAAGCATAAAAAAAAATTGCAAATTGTTCAGAATATGAACTGTTTATGTATGCCTATTTGTTATACTTGGAAAAGCTATTCTTCTCTTCTTGAAGAGTATATTTCTTTTAAGTTATTTACACTTACTGTCCCAGTCAAAAGCTAATATCTATCTTCATAACTCTGAATCATCTAGGACTATGACATTTCTAACATACCTCAAACAAACCCTCAACCACTCGGCCCAGAACCAGCAGGTACAGGTTTGCAGAGGCAAGAGCTGGTGTCAGAAGTGTTACTAGTGCACTCACACCTACACCAATCCCGAACAATTTCCTTCCACCAATACGAGTAGCCAGCCACCCTCCTGGTATCTGAGTCACAATGTAGCCATAGAAGAAAGAACTCAGAACAATTCCTTGTACTTCTGAGCTCCATGGATAATCTTGTTTCTGAAAATAAGAACTCTACATGTACCTCTTCAAATGTCATTTCTTGAAATTATGTCATATGTACAACAAATGTAAAAGGAAACAGGTACAAGGTAAAATATACTTACAAATATTTCTGTTCCATTTTCAGTGTGTGAATAATTGCTTGTCATTGCAACTATGGCAACACTCAGATTTACTCTCAGGGCATAGACATTGCAGAAGCCGAAGAATGCCATAATTGCAACCACATACCGCCGTGGAATTGAAAAACACCATTTTGAACTGTGGAGAAAACTTTTTGTATGAATGAATACACTCTCTCCCACTTAAAAAAAGAACATATGGGCAAGTTTGAAATTGTCACTCAAGAGGCTGTGTTTAAATACTGACAGAGCAACTATTTAGGATGGAGGAAGTGTGAGTTCAATGACTGCCAAGATCAGGGTTCCAAAACTCTTCTAGTCTGAGTCTCCCTTGATTAGACTAAACATTTTTGAGGCTCCTGAACCTATAAAAGCAATTTATAACATGATTTAGAAATTTAAAAAGAAAAAAACAGTTACTAATGGATGTTAATTATATCTGTGAAGTACTTTTTATATTAAATTCATTCTTTCATTCATCAATGGCCCTACAGCCCTTTGTTGGGCCCTGACCTCTTCTTCAGTTTCATATCTTTTTTTACCCAGACGGTAGGAATCCTTGGACGAGTGATCAGTCGGTCACAAGGCTGCTGCCTACACACAGGACAACACAAACAAAAAAATAAACACACACACACACACAGACATCAATGCCTTGAGTGGGATTCAAACCCACGATCCCAGTGTTCGAGTGAGTGAAGACAGTTTGTGCCTTAGACCGCCCAGCCACTGTGATTGGCTTATATTAAATTATATTCTCGTAATTTAATGTGGCCTTTCCTTGTTAATTTATGTTAGAACATTAGCATTTTTGGTTGTCACAGTAGGCTTCATGATCCCTGGAAAGCTGCAACTATCACTTAAGAAAATTCAGACCTAGATAAAAAATTTCCTGTCCATAAAAATTTTTATTAAACCATGAAGCTTATAATTTTAGGGGTTTCTACAGCAGTGATTATTCAAATTGTGGTCTTCTGGGTTGTGATATGAAGTAGTCTTGTAGGTGAATGCTGACATTTCAGATGAACATGCAGCCTTCATTGTCAGGGTTTGAGTATCAGTTTTCTTACATAAGTAGGTTACAAGGAATCTGTCACTCAGACCCAGAAGTAGGGGGGAGAGGAGATGTAGCCTGGCCTGGGCCAATACAAGTCATTAAGTTTATTTACTGAATCATGCATGTTTTAACCCACCGGCTTATTTTCCTGTACATTTCTGTAAAAACTATATTATTTTACCTTTGAGGTTTGTTTCCCATGCATATTTAAACATACAAGGTGATAGTACCTTCCATACCAAGTGAACCTGGGCTCTCACTTCTGTGACCAAAGGATGTTACCATCTCACAAGGAACATTGTACCAGTATTGCTACTTCATTACAACTAGTGCATCTACTATTCTGTCACATACAGGTGCAAAGATGGTTTTACCACACCCTAACTGGAACTTGACGTAGAATTTGGAATATACTGCATGCATGAATTCTGATTTTGTTGAATGTTTGTAGGTGGTTGAGTTTCATGCAGAGCTGTAAATATAGGATATGTTTCTGTAAACCCACAATTTATATTCTGATTTTACATTTTTTTTTTCAAATGGCCTAATCCTTCTGGCCGCACTATGGCCCGGGTCAACTCAGCCTCTAACAGAAATGAGTACCAGGAATATTCTAGGAATATTCTTGGGGGTAAAAGCAGCCGGCACATAGGACTGACAACCTTACTGCCATCTATGAGTCAATTGTCTAGAAAATGTGGGAACCTCAACATCTCACAACTCTATGGGCCTCCACAGTCTGTTACAGGGATACCTTTACTTACTTTCCACTTTTGTATACAGAAATCTCTTGTTTAACATAGGCTGATTAATATGATTTTGATTATTATGGATCATATTTAAACATCTGTTTTATGCCATATGGGGTCGACAATTATCCACAGGTTAGCATGTGCAGACAAAGAAGTCATTCAGTTAAGTGCTGCAAATGTCCAGAAATTCTGCTGAATGCTTAGTTAGAACAGATCCATTTATAGAGAGGGGTCTTAAATTCATGAGAGGTTTGGAGGGTTTATTGCTGCCTTATAAAGAAGTACAGTAGGATCTGCAACAGAGGATGAAGCAGCTACCTATTATGAGTCCTATCTGACATCATCAGTCCCCAGCCAGTCTGTCACTCAGGATCACAGGCTTAAGTCTGCCAATAAGCCTGCAGATAACCCTCAGAATGAGCATAGCCAGAAAGCATGCAGTTCTAAAGTTACTTCATAGTACAGTGTGACCTTATGACTGTTCAAATGACTAAGCTGCCATCGTAGCATAAGATATATAAGCTAGGCATGATCTGCTCTGTGAAGACTGTACTAACAGAGGACTTGTGAGTAATGCAAAAGGAAGAATTTCCAATAACATGTTATATGTGCAAAATATACACTTGATGAAAAGCCAGGCATATTCATAAGAGACAAACCCATCTTCTCATCAGAGAAGATGTTACATAAGGACTATTACTGCAAGAGTTTAGTTGGAAAAAAAGAATCTTTGTTTGTAGGCCTCAAGGGGCCTCGCGCCAAGACGAACTGATTGGTAGTAAACCACCAATCATAAAGTAACTCTGACTTTGAAGTATAGTTCAAAAGTATAAGAGGCTTAAACTTGGCGGTAGTCAAGCATGCGACCGTTCAAGTGACTATACTGCCATTGTAGCAGACTCTGCTTGAAATAGGGCATAATCTTCTGTACTGAGCCTGGACTGACAGAGGCCCTGTATATGTTTTATATATACTTATTAAGATGTTTAACGTGTAAAATTTAAATACCCTTTTCATTATGACAAATGATTTACTACCGTAGACAATGACTCTGACAAAAGACAGACCCATCCTCTCGTGAGAGAGGATGCCCCAGAGAAACAAAACTGTAACTATCAAATAGTAATAAATATCTGGTCATAAGCCCCAAATGGGACTCAATACCAAGACTGACCGACTGACTGACCGTCGGTTGCAATATGACTTTGACTTGAAGTATATTTCAGTCCCATGTGGAGGCGGGGTCAAATACCACCACCGGAGCCCTGGCTGTTGTAGGAGGTGATGAAAAGGGAAGTCTCGAATGAGAGAGTAAAATATGATCACGAGTCCCATGGGACTTACACCTGAAAATGCCTGCACTGGCAAGGGCCAGCAGCAATTGTAAACGACAGATCCATCCTCTCATCAGAGACAGCGCCCCACATTAACAAACCCGCAACTGTCTGACAGTAATAAAAATGTGGTTGTAAGCCCCAGATGGGTGCTTTATTCCATGACAGACTGACCGTCGGTTGTAACATAAGACTTAGACTCAAGAATAGTTTAGTTGGAAGGAAACCACTGTTCAGAGAGGACCTGAGCCCAGAAGCAGAGGAATAGCCATTGCTAGAAGCTGTTACCAGGCAACTACTAGTGAATACAATGCGGGCTGGAAAAAGACTTCACATGATTTTGTAAAGTGTGAAAATAGTGACAGTGTTATAGTTATTTTTAGTTACAACCTGTAAGTGGTCAATAAATCCAATTACAAATCCAAAAGCTCATTTATAGTCAGACATACAGGTGACAGTATGTTTGAGGCTGATCTAAACACTTTAAAATCACTACAGTACCAGCTAAGTCTTTTCAGTCTGTTGTGTCTTTACCAGTCATTGCCAGGTAACAGCTTCTAACAACGGAGATTCTTCAGCTTCCACCCTCACTTCATTGTCCGCTGGATCTTAACTGCACCAATTAAGTCTTCTCTTCATAGACTCCCTTACAACTCTGTCCTGTTGCTCCAATTGTCATCCTTATAACATCTCGGCATAGACCTTGTAGAAAACACCGTTCATTGTTGTACTTAAATCGTTTCCATGGGAACATGTTTGTTTGCGAAGGTGTTACTCAGTAACAGTCGCGTATAATTGCTTTTTAAGAATCTGTTGCCTAGCAGCAGATTTGTTTGTTTCAAGGTCATTACCCAGTAAGAGGCCCACACACTACAATATAGTTCAAGAAAGTAACCCTCATGGTGGAGGCACGCAGTAGTGTAGTTCGTTGCGGTACTACATTACAAGCCAGAAGGTTCCAGGTTTGAGTCCTGATGAGGCCGCTGGATTTTTCAATTTATCTAATTCTCCCAGTCACATTATGGCCCTGGGGTCGACTCAGCCTCTAACAGAAATGAGTATCAGCAATCTTCCTGTGGACTTAAGAGCAGCTGGCATGTAAGGCTAACAATCTCACCACCATCTGTGGGTCAGTCGTCTGAGCCTCTATGTCTCATAACCCTATGGGCCTCCACAGTGTATAACAGGGGCAGCTTACTTTTTTAACACTCATATTAAATAAGGGATTATGGTACATGGATTGCATGCATTAGAAAGTTTGAGGTATGAGGCTTTTATAGTGTTACATTGCGATCTTCTGGATTATGACATAATGTGATCATCTACATTATTACCAACATTTTGGACAGTATCATAACTCAAAGAAATACAGTCTGAAAGTAAAATATGGTTGTCTTATCCTCATTCTAGTTCTGCCAGCCAGCATTCTGTGGCACAGGCTTTGTCTGTGGAGTAATATTCCGAGTAGTTAAACTGAATAGTCTTTACTATAGGATTCTGACAATGGTGTATAACACACTGATATATTGGGTTTTCGGACTTTATCCATCGTCCTGGTTTTTAAGATAACTAATAAAAACACGACGTTTTGGAAACTGGAACGCTTG